CAATTTTTTTCATCTTGAATGGCTTTTGAGATATTTTTTTGATAGCTAAAAATAACTCATGGGATGTATCATATCAACAAATGATTCAATACGAATTTACCAAAACAAGTATGTGACAAATATATATGTTCATACAATACATATATGTAATTATAAAATGATATTAAAGGATTATTTGCAGATAAATATTCCGTTCTAATGGTCTCTTCTTCAAGGAGCAACACAGTTTATATGCGTAAGACGGAGATTAAGCAGGGGCGGGTCCAGGTGAGGACGTAATGGGCGTACGCCCCCCTACCCCCTTTAAAAAAAACAAACTATAAAATATACATGCTCCAAGTCAGGAACCGTTAAATTAGTGCATTTCACAATTATTTTATGTTTATTAGCAAAAAAAGGTCCAGAAAGACTTTATTCTACGCCCCCTCTTTCAAATATCATAGAAACGCCCCTGTTAAGAGCGGAGGATTAATTGTGTTTTTTCTCAGCAGCTAACGCAAATAAAATCAAGATTTTCCTCAGTTAAAGAAAAAACAAAACATGTTCTGTAAAATATTGCTTTTACAATGAAATAGAAAAGGAAACATCTTCTGTACAATCTTTTGTATCTATTTATATATATATATATATTACTTTTATAAATTTTGACTTGGATGAAGTGTTGTCTCATTGGCACTCATACCACATCTTCTTATATCTATATATACTTTTTCCATTCTTCTCTGGGGATTTTATTTGTTAAAACTGAGCAGTTTCTTGGGGTTTTTTTTTATAGTTAAAAGTAATGCTTATCTCTTCTGCAAACCAAGCTGTTTTTGTTTGATAAATTATCAATGCAAATGAAATTATTATTGCAAGCATGTGCCTAAAAAATCATCCTCTTTAATTCCTCCCCAAACGGGGCTAGTAACCTACAAGTTAAACAACGATTAAGCCTGATGATGCCTATGTGTTTTGATTAGATATGTTGTTTGGTTGCTGTCTCATTGACGTATACCTAACATCTCAATTTCATTCATGCATCTCACGTCGAGTTGTCGACTTTTTTATTCCTTTGTCTAATGGTATCAAAAAAGAAAAAAAAGATGGTATCCTTCTTTCGTGTTTTGCTTCCGTGCATACATAAGGAGAGGCATTCTGATTGCCAATGAGACAACTATTCACCAGAGTCCAAATGACTTTTATGTTCCCGTACGGCCTACAACAATGAAAATACCCTAGCGTTTAGTAAGTCAGCTATAAAAGGCCCCGTCATGACAAAATGTGAACCAACTTCAACTAAAAAACCACCATGATTTTAATATGAAAGAAATAAAACAATTAACGAGAAACAAATATGACAGGCATCAGACAATTGATGTTGTTCATGTTAGGAAATCTAAAACAGAGATATAACATGAATATTGCAGCAAGGAAATTATGTTTAAACTTTCAAAACAAGTCGCTAGGGGTGATCATTTAATTTTCTGTTGAGGGGCAGGAGGATTTGAAAATGAATTTTCTGGCCTGGTAAGAGCTAAAATAAATATTCTGGAATAAAAGTAAAAAAGCAGGAAACCGTTGTGCATAGAAAACTGAAAAATCGAACGGGAAAAAAACAACCATGCATAACACCAGATGAAAATGAATAGTCCATCCGCAAAAAATCCTCCAGCCTTCTTCCCCCACCCGAGTGTATATAGTTAAGCGTGATAGAACGAAAGGCGTATCAAAATATTGAGAAAGAGAGAAATGCCATATACATATGACATGCGTACAATATCCTTGAACGACGACACATCAGCTGTCTCAGGATGGACGGACCATTGGAGAGCTGATGAATGCCACAGACGTGTCCGATGACACTGATGTGGACATTTAAAAAGGGAAATTAAAAATCTAATTTAATGTCCTTTTGTAGTTTTATGTTCCTTTCTTCGCTGTCCGCCATTATATGAGATATTGACACATGATAACCAGCCATTGTCACCAGCGATAAAAATTTCTGCTTCAGAAAATTCCATCATTTTTGAAAAAGAGAATTTTGTAATGGTGATATACGACGTTTGAATCAAGGTTAATTTTAATTTGATTATAACGATTGGGACATATAATAAAGGGGTTGAAAGTTTTAGAAATTTTAAATGTGTTTACAATTGGTCATTTAAATTTCAAATTGTTTACGATAGCAATTAAATTAAAATTTCTACATATTTGCTATGCTTAGTCATTTTATAATATTTATATATTCTGTTTATACATATGTATCTGTAATAATAAGATAAAACGAACCGTCGATTATCAATTCTGTATTATACTATAAAAGTTCATAAACAATATTTATTGGCGATTTCAATGTATATTTCTATTTGCTTATTCAGTTATCACTCTCGGTTTTAATCAAACATGAACACGTCTTGTATAGCTGAATCACCGCTTTTAGTTTTCGTTGAGAATATTATAGTTGTATTAGACCTTTTCTGGTTATATATAATATATATAGATTATAACATGACATTTTTCATATCCGACCTAGGTCATATCAGCCCGAGAGCCGACATAAATAAAACTCGTTTGCCTCGATGACTGATTTAAGTCGATACACTGATTTCTGTTCGATTATAAATAAGGAGATATGGTATGATCGATCGCCAATGAGTTGTTTTGAGATTCAGATTTGGGTCTGCGCATATTAGTTATTATCGGATCTCACATGATTAGCATGCATATATACCTTGACAGTGAAAAGACTTCAAAAGAGAATTTAGCAGATACGTTTTACTAGAAAGGCGGTCTTCCGCGTACAAAAGTGACCGTGTGCCAATAAAGCAATAAAGCGTGAACTTCTTCAGAGGCGGATTTAGGGGGCAGGGTTTCCGGTCCCCCTTATGAAGCTACATATATGGTACCGTCTGTGCGGGTGCTTTATAGCCAGCCAAGGTCGTTAACAACCCCCATCATCAACATATATGGTAAATGCATAGCCTCTTACATGTTCCACTCCAAACGTTGCCTAGTCCCCCCCCCCTTTTTTTCAAATCCTCATCTGATCTTTCCGATTAAGATCTATCTATGCAACGTTCCTATACATTTCTTTATTCAAAGTGAGTATTTTCAAAACTTATTATTTTTTTTTTAATATTTACAAATTATGGCAGACCAGTATTCAGACTAAAACGCAAACTATGATCATACACACATTTTGAGACGGTTAGCTCCTACTCGTAATCGTTTGGCAAGGGTTACGATCCGGTACCCTTTTTTCCACCTGAAAGTTTGGCTACCGAAAATAGCTTCTATCAAATAAAATTTTGATGGTTGAAAGTTGCACAACTACATCTAAAATACAATATCAATTAAGCTATTATTTTGCATGTTAAGGCAATAGCGACCTTCATACGTTTTACTGTAGTACTGAATCTTAACTAATGTGGTATAAAAAAGACCGCGTATTTCACATGCAAAATACATCTATTTCTCAATGATTTATTTTGACAATTATAGGGTCGATTTGAGGGATTAATGACCCTCTACCTTTTACAACACGGGTGTATTCTGTCATCCTTTTGTTTTTAGTATATACATTCTTTGAAATTTATTTTTATTTATTAAGAAATGCACATTTATACCCTAAAGTATAGTTCAACCTCTGGCCTTTGTTAGTCTTGTGTGTGTTTTTTTTAATTTTGGTTCATTTATATGTTTCGGAGTTTAGTGGGAAGTCCATTTTCTCTGAACTAGTACACATTTATTTTTGGGGGCCAGCTGAAGCCCGCCTCCGGGTGCGGGATTTTCTCACTGTGTTGAAGACCCATTGGTGGCTTTGGGCTGTTTTCTGCTCTTCCGTCGGGTTGTTGTCTCTTTGACACATTCCCCGTTTCCATTCTCAATTTTATTCAACTTTGTTAATATTTTTTTACATTTTTCAATATAGATGAAAAAACATCAATAGCCGATGTTTAAATTTATTTTCATTATTATCAAATTTTGTCTTTTATAATTGTTGTTATTATCTTTATATTTTTTGTTTTTGCTGCTATTTGTCACATTAAAAATGCGTTCTCTGTTCCGTGGTAGTGTTACCACTCGATTTCTACCAAAAACAATTAGAGAATTTTATTACCGAACTGATAATTACGTTATCTGACCTGTTAAATTCACCTCTAGCAGTACGGTATCTCTCACAATCTAATTGTAATTTATCCTTTTCTTACCTCATCAGTTTTATTTTGATGTCACATTCATTATTTTGACAACATAGTATAAATGTGAAACTAATTGAAACACGCGCATTATTACGGAAAAAGTATAGAAATTTCACACCACAAGAGTTTAACAACTATTGTATCCTGGAGTAACGAAAAACGACATATCTAATTATTTCAATTCTAAAGTATGACGCCTGTTTTATATTAATTTATCTTATTTGAAATATATTAAAATATTTTTTATTTAAATGAGATCTGTACAAAATGCATTACAATAAAAGTGTCTCCTTACGTTTGATCACAACTGAATCAATTAAATACCGACACCTTTTTTGCTTTCCAATTATTACTGTTTCGTTGAGATTTAATCCTAATAACGGTTAATTATTTGTGCTTAAATAATTGAATTATATATCATATTTGTTAGCCTCGATTTGCATGCAACGATAATCGCAATATCACAATTCATGTGCTTTAATTTTTATTTAGGGATCATTAACCCCTTTCTTAGCTAGACTGAAGTTGGAAATAAATATACGGTATAAATATAATTTACATATCTGAGAACGGTCTTCTTTTGATTAGAAAAATTCAACAATGCGTGTACTAGATTGAACTGTCGACCCATATGGTACTAGGCGGAGTGATATCTGCTATAAACATGTCAAGAAAACCCTTGATGAGAATGATTGACAACCTTGTCTTCCTTGTAGCGGTATCATCAAAGGCTTTGAAGTACCGCCCACAACACCTTTCATCTTGAATGTGCAGCTTTTGCAAAATAGTTCCGCATTTACAAGAGAACGTTTCCGTTCTAAATTAATATTTTACAACTACTATAATCTACTCATTTGTGTACAAGTTTAAGTTTGTCTTATTCAAACGAACAAAGTTTGTCAACGTTTCTAAAGATTAACCATTTATCGCATATCTACCTCTTAAACAAGTAAACATGGCGGATGAATATATGTAATTAAAGTTGATCAATGTTTACGGTAGAGCGATCGGATACACGACTTTACTGACAGTGTAATAGTCACACAGAGACATTACACAAATAGATAAACTTAAAAGCATGTATCGGATAAATTTTCAGTTTACTTAGTGATTGTCGATTTAATATGGGACAATTTTCGCAGCTTGTCTAAATATTTTTGTTGTTTAACATGGACATAATGCATTGGATTTTATTATTTTGTGTCGTCTGCTGTTTGCCATGCTATCAGACTTTGTCGCCTTTTGACGGACGACATCAATATGCAAAGTGCGAACGTATTACAATTCCAATGTGTATGGATATGAAATATAATTGGACACGGATGCCGAACTTAGTCGGACATTCAAATCAAAAAGATGCTGCGATCCAAGTCCACGAATTTACACCGTTAGTAAGATATGGGTGTTCACGACTTTTGCGATTTTTCCTATGTTCGTTATATGCCCCAATGTGTACTGAAATGGGGGGTGAGACGATGATTATTCCAGTATGCCGCTCCATGTGTTTGGAAGTGCGGCAAAAATGTGAACCAATTCTTAGCCGTTTTAATTTTGAATGGCCAAAAATTCTAGACTGTTCTAAACTTCCACAAAAAAGTGATCCTAAACCGAATAATTTGTGTATGGAAGCACCAAATGTCACACATGAAACCGAACTGGATCCGCAGATATTTGATCCACTCAACAAAAAAGATAAAAAGTGGCAAGAATTGGTAAACAAAATCCGTCCTATATCAAATGACAATTCAGAAAAACATAATATTCACAAACCTATGAAATGTTCGGATAGATTTTATTTATGGGATAAATCTGATCATAATGATACATGCGTACCAAGATGCAATATGGATGTTTTATTCCGCCAAGAGGATAAAGATTTTGCCGAAATTTGGATGATAGTATGGGCCTCAGCATGCTGTTTATCCACAGTCATCACGTTTCTGACGTTTGTTATTGATACAACTCGATTCAAATATCCCGAACGGCCTATTATATTCTTATCAGTGTGCTATGCAATTTATTCCATGGCGTTTATGATCCGTGCCATAATAGGACCGAATGCAATATCTTGTGACAATGGACACGATGGAACTGAATTTCTAATCCAAGAGGGATTGGAGAGTACCTGGTGTATTATAGTCTTTTTGATAATGTATTTCTTTGGAATGGCTAGTCAATTATGGTGGGTGATTTTAACATTGACATGGTTTTTGGCAGCAGGGCGGAAGTGGGGCCAGGAGGCAATCGAATCCTTAAGTAGTTACTTCCACCTAGCCGCATGGGCTATACCAGCCATTAAAACTATTATTATTTTAACAATGCGCCGGGTTGATGGCGATGAACTAACAGGTCTATGTTATGTAGGTAATCAAGATATTTCTGCATTAACAGGTTTTGTACTGACACCTTTAATTTTATACCTTCTGCTAGGTACATTTTTCATATTAGCAGGATTTGTAGCATTATTCCGTATTAGAAACAATTTAAAACAAGACGGAACAAATATTCGTAAATTAGAAAAATTGATGGCAAAAATTGGTGTCTTTGCTGTGTTATATACAGTCCCAGCCACTTGTGTGATAGGCTGTTATTTCTATGAACGTGTGAACTTTCAGACTATGCGAAACGCAGCCGAGTCGTTGCCTTGTCGGACTGCAGATAAAGGAACGTTAGACTGTAGTTTGGACAAATCTCTTCCAAGCGTGGAAGTATATATGTTAAAGATCTTCATGTCATTGGTAGTTGGTATTACCAGTGGTATGTGGATATGGAGTAATAAAACTGTTAGTTCTTGGAAAAAATTCTGTACGAATAGATTTACTAGGAAAAAATACGGAGGCAATGTGACTTATCAACAAGCGCCAGTCGTTGTCGTAAAATCTCATAAATGTGTTCCAAAAACTTCGGGTTCAAGAGTGTAGAATTACAATGATAGTTACATTCATTTTGTGTAAGTAATACAGGTTAATTGCATTACATATATGTTCAATTGATGTCTAGCTTTATACCGGGTCATTCTGTACGGTTTTCTAAATGTACAGTTTAAAAGTGCAATTGTCACATTGTTCAGAATTATATATTGTATACAAATACTTAAGAGGTAGGTTATCCCCCTTTCATTTTGATTAAGAAACGTTTTTTTTTCAATGCTTTTTTATTTGAGGTTCCCAATTTTATCAATTTATATCTAGGTGTGTATACATTACAAGAGAGAAAGACACTGTTGCATAAAGTGGAAAATGCATTTACTCTTTAACATTTTTACGTAATTAACTGTGCCCAGTGATGAACCCACATGGCAATCTTGGATAATATTAATTATTCATAGCATTTTTCTGATAAAACACGTTCGTATAGATCCATGATCAGTAAAAATACTTTTTATCCTGTATGGTGAAAACTTTAACAGAAATTTGATAAGAGCATAGATGTATATACATCTATGATTAGAGGGAACTTGTGGTATAGCAATAACAAAAAGCATCAATATAGTCCTCAAGATATAGTAAAGTCAACAATTAACAACTGTTTACACAATATAAAAAGCTGCAATTCAACCAGGTCTATGATATAAAAGTTGTGAATAAATTTATCCGAAACTATCAAAGAACTGCCATCAATACCAAAGCCTCAAACTATAAAAGCACAAAAGCATTAAGATATTTCACAGAAGACAACCACGGACGATAAGTCGATTCACCATTCTCGTTATAACTCAAAGATAGGGTACATATAGAGATGTTGTAATTTATAAGTTCTGTCTATCCTGAGTGACAAATTTTGACAATGACCACCAAATTTTGGGAGTGTTTTGACATACATATCTACAGCAAGAGATCCACAATGAGTGACAAACTCAAAAAACTTTTCAACAATTCTGTAAATGTATTTTTTTTTTAAATCTTCCCCCCGTTTGTCGCTAGATTTGTTTAATGTTTTCATAATTCTTGGAAAAGGGGATAAATTGTATCGAATTCAAACTTCATATCAACAAAGCCAAAGTTTCTTTTGCGGTAAAATATGCCTAGTTTTAATGGAATGTATAATTTTCTTTAAGTTTTACTATTATCTTAAAGCAGTATGTACATTACATTTTTATACTTAAAGTTAATTGAAGAGTTTAAAACGCGGATTTTCTTTCGTTTTAAAGTTAAACAAAATTCAGAAGTGAAACATTTGAATGGCGTTTGAACGTTAGTTAATTGTTTCTCTCCTTCATCTTTTTAAACAAAGGATATATTTGAAAAAATGTCAATAAGACAGCAACCCAACGTCTCAAACTTTTATTATTGCTTTCATTATTGTTCGTTACCCCACAATTTGTTACCTTAATAACATCATATCTTGTAATTAAAAACCATAAACATACAGTTTAAAAGATAATTTAAAAAGTCTGTTTTGACACAAGATCCTATTGCATAGCTCTGATAATTGAAGGGTTTAGAGAAGTTTGTTATGGTCTTTTATGTGATATCGTGTTACACAACCCTATCCAATTCTTTTAACTATAGGAAACTTTTGATATTCGAACTACCAAATTGCTATTGTTAACTTTAACAAATACGGAAAGCTTAAATCGAAACTTCTCAACTGGAGCTAATAGCTGAAATTATAGGGCAGCCATTAAAGGCAGATATGCACTCTGATTTTTATGCTGTATATGTTTATATAGAGTAGTTTATCGTTCATTCATGTGTGAAATTGTTGATTATGATGACAGAGAGCCATGACTTTATGACTTAATTTTATGTTATTTGTGTTAAAATACGTGCCACATGGAGATTCTTATTAAAGTTTATTTATAAAAAAAAAAGTTTGAGTATTGTATTGTGTCAAAACATTCAATCTTTACGCTATTTAGTGTTTGCACAATTAAACACAGTATTGCATCACTTTACCCTGGGGCCCATTTGTTCATGCAGCTTATTGTGCAACACTTTAATTTACGATAAGGACCGTGGGACGAAAACATGCATGTACAGTACAAGTACTGTTTTAGTAGAACTTTGTTTGCATTTCTTCGTAAGTTGTTGTGATCTATTTGTGAATATAGTTTACACAATATGCATTTTAACCTATAAATTATTCAAAGTGTATACATTTTACACAATACTTAAACGTTCTTTATACGGAATGTTTATCTTTCGCTCTTTGAAGTTAAAAACATAACTCCGCTAGTCGCCAGGTTGAAATTCATTTAAAAGGCCTCTTAAAAATTCACAAACGTATCTTATTCGAAACAAGTCAGTTGTATAGATAAATGGTTTTTTCACATTGTTTGGACTTTCATTAGGAAATTGTTAAAAAAAATCGTAATATTTAAGGCCCCTTAAAATTCACAAACGTATCTTGTAGGAAACAAGTAGTTTTAGAGATAAGTGGTTTCTTTCACATTGTTTGGACTTATTTCATTAGGAAATTGTTAAAAAAAAAATGGTAATATGTTTATTATTGTATTGATGAACACAGGATCAATATTTTTTATTATTCGTTGTGTAGTCTGTCGCCGGTATGTTAATGATTTCATCTTCTCAAATTTCCTGTTTACTAGTCAATGTTTTTATTTATACTGATGTGAGATATTTCCTGATTGATTTCATGCAATATGATAAATGAATGATTGTTGTTTGCTAAACGTCCAGTGGCGGATATTTGATGCATATTCAGGAGGATTATAAATACATGTATACAGTATACACGAAAATCATTCCTTTAAAAATCACCCTTCCTATATAACAGGGAATTTCGGTGAAAGGAGGGGATTGCTAGTGATTCACGAACATTTTATATAATGTTTTGTGTATTCAGAGAGGCATTTCCGAGTGCACGCGAATAACCTACAACCACCAGAAATTCATTATGTATAAAACTCATCACCAATATAAAGATAAGATGTGGTAGAATCTTTCACATTATATAGTGATTTTTTTCTGAATTGGCTCGTGAGTACTGCACACGAGTATCTGGACTACCTGTTGTTTATCATTGTTTGCACGTTTTTTCGAAGGAGTCGGTTGTTGGATGTTGATGGTTTTTGCGGTCTTTGTGTTGTGTTCAATTTAGGTGGGAATTCTTGTTATCCATTTATGTAATAGACAGACACACACTATGATTATGTACTTAAATGTGATTTCGATGGTTAAATTTTTTGTGTTTGATATTTCTTTTCACATTTTAGAACAAATAATATAGTTGTGTTTCCTACTTCCCAACCTACCCTGAATTTGTATACCTAAAGTTGGGCACCATTGTGTATTTTTAACATAATAAATGATTTCACCTACATCACTACTCTACTTTTTCTAACATGATGCAGGAAACGGGTATACATATATAATATACTTATTTTTGGACTTATTTGGACTTAACGTTTGTTGATGTGGTTCATAAGTGTTTCTCGTTTCTCGTTTTTTATATAGATTAGACCGTTGGTTTTCCCGTTTGAATGGTTTTACACTAGTAATTTTTGGGGCCCTTTATAGCTTGCTATTCGGTGTGAGCCAAGGCTCCGTGTTGAAGACCGTACTTTGACCTATAAAGGTTTACTTTTATAAATTTTGACTTGGATTGATAGTTGTCTCATTGGCACTCATACCACATCTTCTTATATCTATTAGATGGTAACTGATACTTCAAAAACAAAACAATGGCATTGTCATGGTTACAATAATACAGTTTCTATAGATCAACCCTTTTTAGGGTGGGTTCGTGTTGCTCAGTCGTTAGATTTCTATGTTTGTGTGTGTGTACTGTTGTTTGTATACTCGCCGTTTTTCGTTTTTTGCCATGTCCGTGTCAGTTTATTTTCGACTTATGAGTTTGAATATCCCTTTGGTATCTTTCTCCTCTCTTTTTCTATAGATAAAAAATAAATGCGCTTGTTCACTATGAAACGGGGCGATTGCTGGTAATTAAAGGTAATCACACTCGTAAACAATATCCGACCGTCATGAGCATAAAATACCTATGTAATATACAGAGAAATATTTCACACATAAACCTACAAAGTAACATATACTGTACAGTTGTAGACCTCATTGCAGAAATTCATCAACAAGAGGGGTTTTTAACTGAATCAACTGGAAAAAAGTTAGAGCATCATCACTGAAAACTGCATATACCATCGCTGTGGATTTTCTAACTAGAATTTGCCAGTAGTACATCATGGTACATAGTACATATATAAAATAAGTATGATTTATTGATACTTGTATTTATTGTTTCCTTATTAAATACATTTTGTAGACTTTTTAGACGTATACATGTATATATATAAGTGCCTAGAAAATCAACCTAACAATGTTGGAGAGTAGATTTGATTCTTTACTTACTCCCCGAAAGGGCTGGAACCTGTACTTATCACTTCTTACTTCTACGACAACACCGCCTAGCATTGCGCAGTCTCCTTATCCACTCCCCCACGTGTAACTATAGCTAATATATATATATATATTGTTTTCAATTTAGACATATATATATATATATATAAACAAGTCTAAATTGAAAACAACGTTCAAACCTATGATTGCGTTGGATAAAAACCGCAATTTTTATACGTGTGCATGCAAAACAAATTTCTTGGAAGAGGGGTCTAAATACAGCACAAACAACATTTTCCAAAAGACCAAATGAGTGAAAAAGTATATTTTAACAAAACGCATTTGACTAGCAGGTCGAACAACTGATGTTCTTAAACCCTGGTGACTGCCATTGGCGATTGCCAAATAAACGGATCACAAGATGTAACAAAACAGATCTTATATATATATATTATATTTCTAAACGCTCGTATTCCATTTAATTTGCTACATTATTGACACTGTCGAAAGTACATTGCAATCAAAGTAACGGGAATTATACCAGATATTTTACAATGTTACCTACTGTACTTTTAGGACTCGCGTGGCCTTGAGGACGAGAAAAAATGTACAGAAAAACTCAAACCAGAGACATACAAATAAAAACAAGTATGTCATCTATGCAAGACGTCGGACGGCAGAATAATCTTTTAATCTGCAATCATTAATTAAATAAAGCTATGTTTTTCGTCATATAAAATTTTTAAAAAAGAGGGCCATATCATGTAATTTATTAAAATTGCAACTTCACGTTATCAACTAAAACATCTCATGTATGAAATTATCATCTATCTCTTAGTTAACAGTAGAAAATTAACTTGGTTTTCGGAAGGAAATATAAACTACAGGGAACCAGGTTATTGAAATTATACATTAATTTGTTAATTTCAAAGTTAAGTGTAAGGTATATATTTTAATTGAAGAGACGGGATACAAAATTAAACCAAACCCGACAGAAAAGTCTGAAAAAGTCATGTAGATCAGGTACGGATCTAGGATTTTGAAAAAAGGGGGCGTGGCAAGCCAACGTTTGGAGCGATACTTGTAAAAAGTATGCATTTATCACATATGTGGCTCCATAAGGGGGCACTTGGCCCACCTAAAACCGCTTCTGTAGGTGACCTCACAAATCACACCAAAGTTAAAGATCTACAAGTTTGTTCACAAAGATAATTTCATTCAAGAGAGTAAAATTGATCTCATAAATTTCTTATATGCTATAGCATCAATGAAATAAAGAAACATGGCAATCTTTATTTCCGTAGATTTATTATATCCAATTACACAAAAAGCCGTCTTTATTTGGATAGCGGTTGAAAATTTAATATATTGATGAAAATCAAACAAAATTCCACTGCAAGCTTCTGAAGAGCTGTCATTGTTACTTTGTATTCCAACTTTACTGTCAAATATGTAACTAGAAGTACAATGATTTACAAATATATATAACAAAACGCAATGAATAATCAGTCTCTTATATGATAGAAAAACTTTATATGGAGCAATCCATTATCTTAAATGTGACAAGTGTTAAATTTATATTTAGTTCATTTACCAGAAAGATGTTAAAATTTACTCAATGTTCGTTTCAAATTTTATGAAAGGCCCGAAAAAGGTTTTTCTAAACTACCTTTTTATAAAATGCCTCCTAATTCATTTTATTGAGGTTAAGTGCTATTAAAGCGAAATATATTTATTGGTCCTATAAGGATAAAGATACTTGTTATTTTTTCTTGGCCTAAAAAAGTCGATTTCTTTTCTGACATTGACCTAATATTCAAATTTATAACTTTTACAAATGTATAAAGAATAGAATAGAATAGAATATTTTTATTTACCTAATTACAGGGCCCATAAAGGGCATAAAATCAGTTACAAATGATTGACATAATTGATAATTACAACAATAAACATCACAGTGTACATGTAAATGTATATTTAGTATATTAGCATTGGTCAGAACCAGAGCCAACAACAATATATATTATGAATGCACAATTGAATAATAAAATTACATTATATGCATTCGTTGTCAAATTATTTACTAGACTTAGTATCAATATTCAGACCTGATCTCCTTAATTCAAAACACTCGCCAATATAACAGCCTATTTTTTTCCATAAGCGATACATTTTCTTGTGTCAAGAGCCATACAAATTTGGAAGATTCATTTAAGTTTTTAAAATTACAACACATGATAGAAATGTATTGAAACAAATCTTCTCTTTTGATATCATATAGGGGACATTCTAATAAAAAATGAAGCTCATCCCCAACTTTACCAAGAGAGCAATTTAAACAAAGACGCTCAGATCTATCTATACGTTTTTTGGAATATCTGTCTGTCTCAATTTTTAAAGAGTGGGCGCTTATTCTTATATCTATTTTAGTTCTGGATTGACTAAACATAACGAAAGATTCTAAGGATGAACACGAAGATACAAGTATAACAGC